ATCAACATAAACAGTCATATTTGAATATTTGATAACTGAAGAAATAAAAAAAGCTTATTTAACTTAATATGTAGTTTTAATTAAAATATTTTGAGAAACATGATTAAAATATCCAGAAAGTTGCTTAACTTTCCTGGCAACATTTGGTGGTGCCATCTTTTATGATATTTTATTAAAAAGAACTTTTTATATTATTAATTATTATAAAATGGTAAAAAAAACTTAATTTTGAGGATGGAGATGAATTTTATAAAAAATTCAGGGCTGTGGAGTCGGAGTCGTGGAGTTTTGGTGTTTTAGCCAATCGGAGTCAGAGTCAGAGTCATCAAAAAATCTGCCGACTCCGACTCCTTTTTACTTACCAACTTGTTATGTATATAAAACAGAAAAGTATTGGAATCGTGTCAGATTTGACCCTCCAAGTTTTTTTTGCAAATCTACATGTTTGGAGACCTCCCGAACCCCTCAAAAAAGTCAATAAAAGGGGAAAAATTGTGCGTGTGTGTTGGCGTCTAATTTGTTTAATTTCTTTATTTTCTGTTCTGAAATATTAAACAATATCTCAGAATAGGTAAAGTTTAAGNTCTAGACCAATAGCGGATATTGCACAAACCGTTGAGTTTAAACGAGCAGCAGATCTACTAAAAACCATTTATTATTTAATGGCAATAAAAATTATATTTATATTAATGATGTCTCCAAAGTTCAGCAAAGTTTTTGCAGAAAAATAATTTATCAGGAAGCACATGAGCACCATTCGATGCACCACTCCACGTCAAAAACAAGCTTAATTAAGCAATGGCATCGTTGAACGGTGCACACTCAGTAAGTAATCCTACAATTTTTTGTTTATAGCATAGTTTATATGGATTATTCCCAAAAAATTATACATATTTTGGAAATGTTGAGCCAAATTAGTCTAGAATCGATTAATTTTATGGAAGAAAACCTTTCAAACAGCCGTAGTTTGTAAACTGCATATGTGCCGGGCTGTGATTGGCTCATGTATTTAAGGACTCGTAGAACATCAATTTCATAAAGAACGGAACGTATCTACCATGTTATAGGGGGGTCAACTGTAGTGAGAGGATGGAAGTAGATAAGCTCTACAAATAAGTGCAACGACATTTGTAGAGCTTATCTACTTAACATTGTTAAATTAAATTAATATCATAATTAATTGTGGTTGGAAGGATGTGGCAGGTATTATGTAAGGGTATAAACTAAATTTATGATGCACACCATAGCTAATGACTGTGGGAGTTCTATAAATTAGTAAATCCAGAAAACTAATTTTTTCCAATTGATTCGAGTTAACCAGATTTCACTATATTCATATCACAAGAAGCCTTTAATAAAAAAAGGCAAAAGTGTTTGTTTTTCTTCTATTATTTGTATTTAACATACTACTGATGAGTTAGTTCAGTTCTACTGACTAATTAAAATTGATGATATATATGAAACAATGTTTCATTTTTACATTTGTATTTTAAAAATGATTTGTGTTTAATAATTTTAAAATTAATTAACAACTGAACTTCCTATCAAATACTGGAGGTAATATACTTCCTTCTACCTGTATAAAAACCTTCCAAATCTCCAGTGATACTCATTTAAGCAAACGTTTTCGACCCTACCAGGGTCTTCATCAGGCCACTGTTANTAAAAGGGGAAAAATTGTGCGTGTGTGTTGGCGTCTAATTTGTTTAATTTCTTTATTTTCTGTTCTGAAATATTAAACAATATCTCAGAATAGGTAAAGTTTACGAAACGAAATGTGGCACTGTAGCTCGCATATAAAGGGGCATTAATACTATTAAATTTTGGTTCTTAATTAAAGGTCGACAGGGTGAAGACATAAAAGTAGTCATGTGTCATATCTCTTAATGAATATTTTACTCGTTATTAGTGTTCAAAATTTAAAAAAATAAAATAAAACTTTTCTCTACCCTCAAAGTAAGCTTTTTTATCATTTTATAATAGTGTAGTAAAACCCATTAAGATATTTTCGCCTAAGATGTTAGAATGTATATGGGGACATGATTTAGTTCAACCACTTTGACTTAAATAACTAACTCCTGTGTTAAACCATCTGACTCCAATTCTGACCACTCTGACCACAGAAATTATTAGGCTTCAAACAGGGTGAACAAAATAATGCCCCCCCACACAGTCTTACATCCACACATAGAAAAAACCTCGAATCTTTTGCTTAATTAACTCGAAATTTCAAGGTATTCTGAGTCCAAAACTGTAAAAATTTTTTGACTGAGCGCTACACTTTGTTATGTATCCTCTGTTATATATAACAGCTGGAAAAGTAAAAATTATTGAATACATATTTATATATTACTTAGAGGAGTCTTTTAGCTTTGAAATAAAAAGTTTTTACGTTCTATCTTTATTAGAACTCTATTTATTGAATCTTTTATTCTGAGGTCACGTGATGACATCAGAATTTCTGAGTCTCTTTCAGTAACAAGTCCTCCCCTAGTCGGAGTCAGAGTCGGATGGTAGGGAAAAGTCGGAGTCGGAGTTGGAGTCAGTAGATTTTTACGCGATTCCACAGCCCTGAAAAAATTGCAAATGCTAATAAGTAAAATCTTTAAGTCCAACCTTTTTCTAGATATGANCAATAAAACCACATTACACCTAATTATGTGTGGGGTGTTCCTTCATAGCAAAACTTCCATGCACTAGAGATGTTGACTGCGTCTCTGGAGTTAATACATGTATTGTTTAATCCCGCTTTATAAATTTCTAAGGTCTCCATGATTTTTAGTTGGTCAGTACGGTGTGATAGCCTAACTAGACTGGCATTCTGCAGATCCACCATAATTCCAGGCTCCGTGGCTACTGTTGAAAGGGTGGTGGAGTGTTTATTGTTATCAATATCATACTTATGCTCCTTAAGATGTTTGCGGAGGGAGTGTTTGGTTGAGCCTACATATACTAACTTATTATTAAATCTGTCATCCCAAAGGGGTATAGAATATACCCCCCGGTGCGTCTTTCAAGTCAATCCCATCCTTCCCGTTTCAGAGTAAGCTGTAAATGGATCTTGGCCTACTGTACACTATTTTGTTATTAGTGCGGGAAGAGATTTCTCTGTATAATGTGTCAAGCTGGTGGTTGTACTCTACTATTTTTCTTTTACGGTTGTCGTCAGGCGGAAGTTCTGGGATATCCGGAGTATTGCGCGTGTTCTTCCGCATATATGCCCGTGCAATATTATATACCAAGTTCTTACTGTATCCATGCCGTGTGGCTATTTCCTGGATATGCTCCAGCTCAGCTATGGTATCTTCCCATTCAGAATGGTGGGTGAAGGCTCTCTTAGTCAATGCCCAAAATTAATTAAAGAATTCAACCAGAAATTTTATTAAAATAATTTTGGAAATTTTTTAGCACAGTTGCTTATTTTCAAGAAACTTGCTGTCTTGAAGTACTTTATTCAAATCTCTTTTAAATACAAAAATCTTTTATAGCTTTTCAAATTGGTTACATATTAAATTTAAATTAAACAAAAATTTTAAAAATATTAATATATGTAAATTATATGGTTGTAGATTATGTTCAGAAGCAAAGATTGACTCAGATTTTAACTGAAATAACTTGATAATGTTATCTTGCTATATAATGTGTAGTATTTGCAGTTTAAATTTCATTTGAGTTAATTTTTTTTTTTTTTTTTAGATTTTTCTAAGATTTCTAAAAATCAGCAATATTTTGAATGATTGTTTGAATTTTCATATATTACAATGCTAGATTTTAAGAAAATTTTAATGTAATGTTGTTTGGATAACCAGTTACAGTGCATATCCTGCAGAAAATTGCTAGAACACTTTTTTGTATTGCTAACATACTTTTTAATTATGATGTTTCTTGTTTTATACAGAAAAGCTTACAGTGCTTGTATTTGTTTGTAGTGCAGGTTTACTATATCTGTGAGGCTTTATCATCTCTCTTCACATGGAAAAGTAAATTTTTCTACAGAAGGATAGTTTATTATTATTATATTATTATGTATTAAATTAATATTATTTGTAACACACCAACCGAATGCCGAAAATCAATCAGGCTATTTTAATGCTAATTACTAAATAAATTACGAAATCAATTTGGCACTAGAATAAAACCACATTACACCTAATTATGTGTGGGGTGTTCCTTCATAGCAATTTTTAATATTATTTGGTAAATAAAACAGAAACAAAATGTGATAAAAACATTTTTGTCCTTCAATAATCAACTTGTTCCAAAAATAATGTGTAATCTTATTTGATTAAAATAATTGATGTATTTTAATTTCAAACCAACCAATAGGATGTTTAAATTGTTTCATTCATTCAATTATATGTAGAAAAACTACATGATGATTTATTCTACTATTAACTTTTAACTTGAAAGTTATTTAATAATAATTTAAATTTTATACCAATATGACTTTAATTATATAAAATGAATTTCTACACTGCAGAGTTTAAGAAATGAAGTAAATAAATCAAAAATGTAATGAAGTCTTCTTTAGTTTTGCTTTCATTAGCAAAATGGAGGAAAATAATGTTATTGTTTGTAAACAAAATGAAACATTGCACAGTCAAACTAGGGCTATTATTTTAAATATATGTAATTATTTTTATCCTCAAAATTCACTTTAAATTTTATAGTAATGAAAAAATAAAAGTTTGTAGATTATTAGAATAACAATTAACTACAGGTCTTAATTGTCAAGATAATCTGAAATGACATTATTTTGTAGATACGGGATAATTACTGAAAATTTATCAGCTTTCAATATGCAAATTCAAATAGAAATGTTTAATAATATCAATTAACCCTATTGAATCTGCTTTCAAATTATTTTTTTTAAACACTGTTAACCAAGGTTTATCCACACAAAATTATACTGTAGAAATAAAGTTAGAAGATTTGTGAGTAATAAAGTTTGCCATATGTTTGAAATTCTTAATTTATTTCACTATTTATTTTATTATTAGAGCAGGTCCAATATCTGCAGCTTTAGACAAAGGAGCTGAAGTAGTAATAACAGGACGTTGTGTTGATAGTGCAATAGTACTTGGTCCACTTATACATAATGTAAGTTTATATTTAATTTATTGTTTATTGTATACAATATATGATTAAAGTGGGATAATAAATGATTTATTAATAAAATATGTAAGGTGAATTCCATAAAGATAAAGTGAATTAATAGATTTCCATATAATATCATTCACATGAAAAAATTTTTCAAATCCTATTTTTTTTAGTTTATCTATACTTTTAAAATATATATATTTAAAAATGATAATTTATTAGGACAGAAAGCAATTTTAAACAATTAGCTTAAAGTTGACTGTCCCAAAAATATAAAAGCAAGTTGATATTGATATTAAGATAGCAGGGTCAACATTAACCTGACAGGGTCAACATTACTAGAAATGACTGTAGTTGGTTAGAATTGCTAATTTAACAATGGGCCAAGGCAAACATGTTGGCATCTTGTATTGGAGAAAGATGAAATTCTTGCTCTTAGAGGTGAAAATTATTCTGCAGGATCAATTGCTAATAAATTAAAACAGTCATTCACTGTAATCTACAACTTTATTTATTTATTTAATTAGACATACTAGGCAGAGCCCATGATGCGGGGTATACAATAATTCGTTACATGTACATTACACAAAAAAATATCATAATCCATCCATTATCACAGAGAAAATTAACATATACATAAATCAAAACAAAAATTATACAAGTGTTATTATAAACATCAAAAATAAATATCTGAAAGCCCAATATCCAAATATAAACATATAACATAATAACAAAAAATCATCATGGGGAGAACTATCCAACCAAAAACATCATTATATAAAGAAAAAAAAACATTAATTACACCCACCTATAAAAGAAAAAGGATTCAATTATCTTATCCAAAATGTGGATAGTCTCCCAACACTTCTTAGCCATAAGCACACTTTTAAGGAAAAAACAAATGCCACCTTTCGGCAAAAACGAATACTCCAATATGCAAAATAAACAACGATGTATGTCACTCCGTACAAGGGATCATTATATTAGTAATAAGTTCCAAAAAATTCTCCAACGGAATAATAGAAGTTCCAAACACACTTTCCCGAATTTTTTCTAATTTAGAGCATTTAGCAATCACGTGAAAAGCATCCAATATCTGATCATCCTTACCATACATGCAAATTTCTCTGTGATAATTCTATAAAAGAAAAAGGATTCAATTATCTTATCCAAAATGTGGATAGTCTCCCCTACAACTTTATTAAATTTGAGTCATTGTTTGCCAGATTGCCAGTAACAAAATATCATTTTGGAAGATAGCTTCAGTGCGCAAGTGTAATTTTAGCAAATCAACTATTTGAAGAGTTGTGCAAACATGTTGGCATCTTGTATATAAGTCAAGAAAACCTGTCTCATCACTAAAGCCCATTCACAAGGAGAAATGCTGGGAACTGGAAACTTCTTTCAACAGGACAATGTTCCCCATTCACACAACAAACTACATACAAATGGCTTTTTTAGCTAATGGAGTGTCTATTATTGATTGGCTAGTTCTATCTCCTCATCTTAATCTGAGGGAAAAATGTTTGGGGGATTTGGACTATTGCTGTATATTCACATGGGCAGCAATAATGTGGAAGAACTAAAACAAGCCACAATTTGTCACTGGAAAGAAATAAGCATATCTGTTCTCTAAAAATTCATACAGTCAATACCAGACTGCATTTATAAATTTATTTTAGCCAATGGAGGTTTCAATAGATATTAGGTTAACATTAAATATGCCTTTATATTTTTGGGACAAGTCAAACTGTAATTCTTTAAAACTGTTGTTTATTTTTTCCTGTCTCTATAAATGATTATCATTTTTTATGTATGCATTTGTGAAAGTTCAAGCAAGCCAAAAATGAATTATTTTTCCAAAGTTTTAGTGTGAATGATTTTATATGGAAATTATTAGTGTTTTTATATTTATGGGACACACCTAAATTCTGTTTACAAAATAAACCAAAAACTGCTTTAATTAATGTAGTCAGAAATAATGCTTTTGGACAAAATAATAGAATTCCTAATCAATTTATAATAAATTTCATAATTAATTTTAATTTTAAAATATAATAATGTAACTTTTTTACCATAGTAATAATAAATTGACTAATTTTGTCAACTGAATTTTTACTTGTGATTATGAATTAAATTATAATATCTTTTATTCATTGAAAGAAACTTAAAAATCCAGGACAAAATATATATTTTAAAATGTAAAAAAATACAAAGTTGAAGACTTCTAAACATCCATTCACAATCACTGGAACACATTAACACTGGTGGAGTTTACTTTCTTTTATGGGCTCTTTGTCACCTGTACTTATGCAAATTGTTTAAAAGTTTCTGTGGCAGACTTCAATTTTTTTTGGTTTTTTTTTTTGTATTCTTTATCACAAGTCTTAAATATTGTATGTTTTTACATTTTTAAAGCTATTATTCAGTTTTTAAAGTTAGTAATTGAAATTGAATAAATGCTGATTTTTTTTCTTAATAGATTTATTATTATTAATATACAGTATTATGTGTTGCATAATTTCTATAAAAAATTTCAATTAGTAAATTTATTTATTTATGAAAATATATAATTTTTGAGATTTGTTTTTTTAACCTGTTACAAAAATTTGACTTTCGAATTTTATTTGAACTATTATATTTACTGAAAGTACAAAATATAAAATATAGTATAGTATGTTGGCTAAAAAAATAATTATATTCAAAATTTAAGAAATAAATTAATAAAACATTTCATATGTAATAAAAATTTAATATGTAATATTATAGAGAGAATTATATCACATTTAAAATCTTTCTTTGTTTTGTTATTTGTGAAAATTTATAATCTAATATCAAACTTTTCTGTTCATAAAAGAACAAAAATTATCACAAGTTAAAAAAAGTAAAGAATATCAGAGAAGTAATAATTCATAAATATATTTTTATAGAATATTTAATTATCACCATTTTGTCTAAGTGTACTAATAAATAATACATTTTTTAATAAATTTATAAATAAATTTTTTAATTGCATTTTTTATTTGTTTTGTTAATATACTTGCTTGTTGCATCAATCAACAGTTGGTTATATGATATTGTATACAAAGCAAATGTTTGTTATTCTTTAATGCAGTTAATAATCAAAACAGTTATTTACATAATAGAATTGATAAAGTTGCTCATAAATCAACATAAACAGTCATATTTGAATATTTGATAACTGAAGAAATAAAAAAAGCTTATTTAACTTAATATGTAGTTTTAATTAAAATATTTTGAGAAACATGATTAAAATATCCAGAAAGTTGCTTAACTTTCCTGGCAACATTTGGTGGTGCCATCTTTTATGATATTTTATTAAAAAGAACTTTTTATATTATTAATTATTATAAAATGGTAAAAAAAACTTAATTTTGAGGATGGAGATGAATTTTATAAAAAATTCAGGGCTGTGGAGTCGGAGTCGTGGAGTTTTGGTGTTTTAGCCAATCGGAGTCAGAGTCAGAGTCATCAAAAAATCTGCCGACTCCGACTCCTTTTTACTTACCAACTTGTTATGTATATAAAACAGAAAAGTATTGGAATCGTGTCAGATTTGACCCTCCAAGTTTTTTTTGCAAATCTACATGTTTGGAGACCTCCCGAACCCCTCAAAAAAGTCAATAAAAGGGGAAAAATTGTGCGTGTGTGTTGGCGTCTAATTTGTTTAATTTCTTTATTTTCTGTTCTGAAATATTAAACAATATCTCAGAATAGGTAAAGTTTACGAAACGAAATGTGGCACTGTAGCTCGCATATAAAGGGGCATTAATACTATTAAATTTTGGTTCTTAATTAAAGGTCGACAGGGTGAAGACATAAAAGTAGTCATGTGTCATATCTCTTAATGAATATTTTACTCGTTATTAGTGTTCAAAATTTAAAAAAATAAAATAAAACTTTTCTCTACCCTCAAAGTAAGCTTTTTTATCATTTTATAATAGTGTAGTAAAACCCATTAAGATATTTTCGCCTAAGATGTTAGAATGTATATGGGGACATGATTTAGTTCAACCACTTTGACTTAAATAACTAACTCCTGTGTTAAACCATCTGACTCCAATTCTGACCACTCTGACCACAGAAATTATTAGGCTTCAAACAGGGTGAACAAAATAATGCCCCCCCACACAGTCTTACATCCACACATAGAAAAAACCTCGAATCTTTTGCTTAATTAACTCGAAATTTCAAGGTATTCTGAGTCCAAAACTGTAAAAATTTTTTGACTGAGCGCTACACTTTGTTATACAGTAGACCCCCCTATAACGCTTAGATACGTTCCACGTTAATCGAATTTTACGTTGTAGGAATGATTAAATACATGAGCCAATCGCAGCCCGATAGGTGTGAAGTTTACGGACTAAGGCTGTTTGAAAGATTTTCTTCTGTAAAATTAACCAATTCTAGACTAATTCCACTCAACATTTCCAAAACACGTATAATTTTTTGGGAATAATCTGTATAAACTATGCTATAAACAAAAAATTATAGGATTACTTACCGAGTGTGTACCGTTCGACTACGCCGTTGCTTAAAGCTGGTTTTCATCGCGGAACAGCACATGAAACGACGGCCGCAATTTCTGATAACGAATTTTTGGCGGAAAAATAACTTGACCTTTGGAGACATCATTAATATAAATAATTTTTATGGCCGTTGAATAAGAAGTGTTTCTTTCACAAGAAATGTATAAAATTAGTGCTGTATTAGACTTACGGTACCTAATTTACATACTGTGCAGACGATAATAAACTCAACTTACTAGCCTAAAATCTCCGTAGCGTGTTGCCAGGCGGCAGAAAGCATATATATAATTATAATAAAGTTACAATAAATTAAGTTAATATATAATTATATATACAGTACCTAATTTATATATAATTAATATATAATTATATGTACAGTATCTAATTTATATATAATTTGTATATAATACTGTACAGACAATAGCAAACTAATTTAGCCACTCTGTAGCGTGGCGCAGGGTGGAGGAAAGTAGTTCAGCTGCTCATCCACTATTGGTCCAGATTCTATCAATCTTGTCGCGAAACGAGTCGGCGACGACGTTTTAGGTGCTCCTGTATACGTATGTTGCTACAATTTTTTCGCTACGTTATAGGAATTTCTGTTATAGGAACGCATGTTATAGGGAGGGGGTCGACTGTATATCCTCTGTTATATATAATAGCCGGAAAAGTAAAAATTATCGAATACATATTTATATATTACTTAGAGGAGTCTTTTAGCTTTGAAATAAAAAGTTTTTACGTTCTATCTTTATTAGAACTCTATTTATTGAATCTTTTATTCTGAGGTCACGTGATGACATCAGAATTTCTGAGTCTCTTTCAGTAACAAGTCCTCCCCTAGTCGGAGTCAGAGTCGGATGGTAGGGAAAAGTCGGAGTCGGAGTTGGAGTCAGTAGATTTTTACGCGATTCCACAGCCCTGAAAAAATTGCAAATGCTAATAAGTAAAATCTTTAAGTCCAACCTTTTTCTAGATATGACATATGACTCTTTTCTATCACTCCATCCCTTTACCTTTAACCACCAAAATTTAATAGCATCAATGACCTTAGTACACAAATCTTCCTGCAAAATTTCAGAAAATTTCAAAAAAAAGCACAGGAGTTATTAACAAAATCTTGCCTTCCCCCCACACACACTACATACAGGAAAAAAACCTGCATTTTTTTTGCATTTCTCAATGTTTCAAGGCCCTGAGTCCAAAAGTGTAAAAATCTTGGTGGGTCATTTTCTTGACCAATTGCCCTATTTTCCCTCTATTATATATAACAGCTGGGAAAGTAAAATTTGAATTCTTTATTATTTCAAAAACAGACATTTTATTTGAAAAAAAAGAAAATATGTAAACTTATATGAAAAATAAAATATTGGAAAATTTTTATTGTATTTAAAATATTAAAAAGTTTATGCAAGTTTTATAAATTATACTTTTTATATTCTAGTTTAAATGGAAACTTGATGATTGGGACAAGCTTGCATCAGGCAGGTAAGCTGATTTAAATATTTGTAATTTATTTATGAATAACTACTTTTTAATTTTGTTGTTTATGCTTAACTTTAGCTTAAAATAGCTGTTTTATGAAAATACATAAATATGTATACAAGAGGTAATTTTTTTATAGAAAACCTCTCTTGTATATTAAATTGTAACTTAGTGTAAAAAAAGCTGCAATTTATTGTATGAGATCCTGGACAGGTTCGAACCATCACTAAATTTGCAAAAATCAATAATTTAAAAAGAATTTAATTGTTTAAAATGAAAACTGTTTGTAGTCAGACACCCTTTGTTTACATTAAAACTGCAGCGCAGAGTTGTAAATCATGAAAGGACTATCATTCCATTTCTGATTGAAAGGTTGAATTCAGCTTCGAGTTTGACCTCTCCCATGCTCCAGGTAGGAGTCCCGTTATGTTTAGTAACAAGGGACCAGTCACTTGGAAGGCACAGATGAGGAAGATCACCTAATCAGAATGGCTGATCGAAAGACTGAGATTGATATAATCCCCAGCAATCAAGGACACATCGCACTTGGTCAATTGATGTTTTGGATAATTCTGACACTAAGTGTCAATGCACCAGTGAGTTCTCCTCAAAATTCTACAGCAATTAATCTGTGTCGTACCCTCTGAATTACTCCTACTCATCCGAAGCATTCCAACATCACATCGAAGAACTCAAAATTAGCCCTACCACCTCTCCTACATCGTCTCTGTTCCAAAGCTGTCGTCAAACCTTCTGTACCAACTCCCATTGATGGAATTGGACTTTTCATCATTCATGGACTGTGTTGGACTCTCAAACAATTATCCTGTTGATGGCAAACTTCAGCGACCCAATCAACACACGTGTAAGCTTACTATTTACTATAATAAACAGATTTTTTGTAAAACACTTGTTCTCTGCCCCATTACCCACATGTGGACAACCTTAGCCTTCCTTACACAGAATTAATTAAATCTCACTCCCAAAATCAGCTTACTTATAATTGATGAGTATCAGTCTTTGAAATTTATCTTATGAAAAGATAATATAATTAAACCTGTCTATCTCGAATCTCATAGGAATGAGAAAAAATTTTGAGATATAGAGGTTCCTACACAATAAACAGTAATAGGTTTGATTGGAGGTGTGGTATTGTATTCTTAACTATAATTTATATCAAAATGTAGTCAATGTGTTTTGAATTTGTAATTGACATTTCAGTCCATAATTTGAGATATAGAGATCTTGGGAGAAAATCATTAGAGATAAACATGGAAAATATATTGGATTTAGGCTGAAAATGCAGAGGAAAAAATAAATTTTAAGAAAAAAAGGTTTGTGATAGACATGTTTAATTATGTGTTGTTCAAAACTAAAATACAGTTTAATTTATGTGATTTGTCTGTTTGTTTTGTCCTTAATAACTAAAAAATTTTGTACTATAAGTATAAATCTGGCTATTTTAAAACTGTTTTGTCATACAGTTAAAGCAGTAGTCAATAACCCATAGTTTTGGAGTTGCATGCAGCTCTTTAAAAATGTTTTTGTAGCTGCCAACTTTAATCTCTGCTATATAGAGTGTAGAGTTGACAGCTACAGAATGTTAGAAACTAGTGAATTACTACATCTTTGTGAAATACAGTATAATTCCAATATACAAATTGCCTTGTTCCTAAAAACCTCTCATAAATACAGATAAGCTTTTTTATTATTTTTATGGTTGAAATTCGTACCTCATTTTGGCATATCTGTTCCCATATCCATGTCCTTCAAGTAATAATAAAGTTCTATGAAACATCTATTTACCCAACAATTAGTTATCCAGGATGAAATAAATAAAATGAAAGTATTGATTAGATTATTCATCAATATAAAAGGAACTAATAAAAAATGACAAACAAATATAAAATAAGAGAAGCAAATATGTAAGTTATCAAACATTTCTTTAATTAATGGTAAGAAAACAAAAGTTATTTAAGATGATTAGTAAGCAAAGAGCAAGTAAAATAGAGAAAAATAAAATTTCTGTATAATTAATGAAATTTTAATCTTTTATCAAATGATTTGTAATGTAGAGATATTTACTGTACTGTTCAAGTATGTTCAAATGTATAGCTCTACTATAAGCAAATGAAGACACAACATAAGTGAAACAAAGAAAATGGTGAATGAAAGCTATCAGTTTTCTAATGGGAGAAGACCGAAATTTCAATTTCATTGCACTTATGATTAGAATATTTTGATCTTGTAAACATTGATGAATGCTTGGCATCAAATATTTCAACTCATCTTAGGAAGAAGGATAAAAGAAAATCATTTTTGTATTAAATTCTTGTATATTGAGTACTTGTAAATTGAAATCATACTGCAAGTATGATACCATTTAAAAGTTTATAGCCAATAGATGTACAACTGTGACTTAGAGGATTGTAATGGGAAGGTGATATAAAGAGAGTATAGAAGCATTGCTTCTTCTATATATATATATACAGAGCTGGTTCTGATAGGTATGCAGTGTGTGCATGCAGTACAGGCAGCTGATAGTGCACTTGAAAATTTAAAATTCAAATATAATTTAATATTATTTTAATCTAGTGGTCAGCGATGAAACAGGTTGATGTTTGCATGATAACTGATGATATAAAGTTAGTATAGCTGTTTTGCATCAGAAACCTTAAATCCCTCATCACCTGTTGCTTACACTTTTATCTGTTGAACAAGAGAAAACTTCATCAGTGGGAATTCCATAACCACTACGATTGTTTCTTCTTTTAAATTACATAACAAGTACAAAAACTTGAACTTTGCAAATTCAAGCTTTATTTTTATTTGTAGAATTTTGTCAGATGGCAGTTTTATGAAAATTAATTTGAAGACATAATTTGTCCGAAATTGGTAAACACCATTTATTCACTTCTTGTGTTCCAGAATATAAACATTTGATGACCTGAACTTTCTTTATAGGCTGCTTGGCTGCCAAATTTAAAAACATTCCTTTAAAAAATACAGAAAAATATCCAATTAAAATTACAAAGTTAAAATTGGAACTGGTGGATCTTACAGACATCTTTGTTTTTCTTTCCATCCTTACCCACTCAGGGATTTTTGAGCTTTATATCTACTGAGGAAAATTTGCTGGTAAATGTAGATTTTTGTAGCTTCCCCCTGGTGATGAATCTTTGCAAAAGTTTCAATTGTAGAATTTCATCGGAAAACCAAAAGAAAATTAAATACAGAAANAAATATACAGGATTATGTCAAAGTCACAGCTCTTTAACAAAGAAGCAGTTTAGAAGTAAAAACAATAAGGTCCTTTGTTACTAAATATGCAACAATGGAGTGATTTTTCACCACTTCACATGATAAAACACGTCTATAACTTAACATTTGTAACATCAAAGACTAGAATTAAATACAGGAAAAAACAAAAACAAAAGCACTAAGTGTGAAAGGTCTCATTACACCCTTCAAACTTAATGTTTTTTTTTTCTGTATTTAATTATACAATTTTAACGAATAAATGCATTTAGAAAACAGTAAGATAAAAGGACGAGAAAGTGTATAAAAATTACTGCCTTCAATAGAAGGGATAAACAAGAGGAGCAATTAAAATGCTCCACTTCTTCAATAGAAATTGCTACTAGTATCTGTAAAAGCTCGTAGTTTTAGTTTTATTGGGTGGAATAATTGTTTTTATACGACTCGAGGCCAACAGTAGGGAAAAAAGGGAAGAAATTTATGCTAAAAGTCACGTGCTCATCTTTAATATTTTCAGCTTTTTGTCGATGAGAAAAGACGGAAGGAGATGATCTCTGTGAATGAAATTGCTTCTGGACTTTACATAAGTAAAAAAGTAAAGTTCTGGTCAATACCGGTGATGGAATTTACATCAGAGGTAATCCTCCTTCTTTAAATTTCTTTCTTCTTCCATTTTTGCTCCCAATTTTTTTTATATTAATTTCATTTTAATTTGCAAATTTTATTTTATGGCAACACTAAAATATAATTTTGAACAAAGGTGCTTTCTACAGGGCTGCTTGATATGAATAAAATGAAAATAAATATAACTTACATCGATATTTTATTAGATTTTTTACTCCTATCAACTATATGAAACTATCCTAAAACATACAACCATCATATTTACAACTCTAAGATGAAAGCCTCTGCTCCACTAGATGGCACTACAGAGTTCCAAGAGACTGTATTTTAATCATTAGCAGTTGGTTACCTGTGGTGATATTAAGGTGAGACCTGAGTTATATGCTTGGACTCTGGCAGTATGACCCAATGGGGACCAGCCTTCCTTGCCTTCCTCACTCTTGATTCCAACCCTCTAACCTTGACATACAGTTTTGTGTGCAGCCTGTACTGCACTAGTGTACTCTACCATTGAGAGTATTGCTCATACTTTATCAGTAGGCAGGGTCCTCCTCCCCTAGATGAGGGGGACACTGCCCAGTGCATCCACTGGACTATAGGTCAAAAAGACCTGAAATGATTTTCATCAATTTCTTCAGTCTCTAAGTTTCCTTTACTTGCTGCTAGCGTTTGAAGTACTTGGTTTTTGGGCTTGTTCCAATGAATGTGATTAGCCCTTCTACGGAAGTCTTCCGTAAAGGGGCACTCAAGTACAAAGTGTCTCGTGTCGCCACACGGACACCCACAAGAGCAGCAACTATCTCCATGTCCAAATTTGGACTTGAAATGGGGAAACTTTCCATGTGCCGTAAGGACCTGGGTCAGTGTCCAATTAAAACTGATTGGAGTTTGGCCAACTTCATGCACAAAGGCATAGGTTGACCTACCTACTGTACTGAGGTTCCAGCACTATAAACAATAAACAATCATTGCAGCTCACTGTTAGTATCAGACTGGTGTGAAAAAATGGGAAGGTCCATGACACGGCAGTGGGGGATGGTGGGAGAACTGTTCGACTCATCAGATCAAAATGTTCTTTTTTTTTAGAATGACCCTCGTATTTGAAAACGTCACAATTAACTTATATAGTAATCTATTATTGAAATTTAATGTAGTTTATATGAAAATAATAGATTTCTTATAAAAAAGAAATATTTTTTTTTATTTAGTCTGGCAGGCCATCTTGTTGAATGTGGAGCACAATCAACAGGAGGAATATTTACAGACTGGCATCAAGTTTCTGATTGGTATGCAAATTTTAAATTTATGAAGAGGATTATTTTCTGTATTTTGTATTTTTTTTATGGTAAGACATTTTTAAAGAAATTTAAATCTATCTAAAATGTTATGTATCAAAACACAACATTACTTAAGTTAAATTTACTATGTTGTATATTCAAAATGAATAAAAATCATGTATTCTCTTGAAAATTTGTATAAAGATAATTATAATTAAAAACTAATTTATAAAGTGTTTTTCTGCAAAGAAAATCTATTTTCAGATGTTCATATTTAGTACATTTATAAAGAGATATGTACAAAAAAATTATAATAAAATGTCAAACTTATTAAAAAGTATGAAATATTTTTTAGTAAACTTTATTGTTTTGATAACTAAAATAATATCTCATATATAAAGAGAGTATAGAAGCATTGCTTCTTCTATATATATATATACATATTTACATTTATAAGAAAAAATATTTGGTATGCCCTATATAATCTATTTCAAACTTTTGGTTCTTCTTCTAATTTCATACAGAAAAATATAGTTCAAATCATGTTATCTGCAACACATTGAAATTGAAAAGCAATACTGTCCATTATAGTGCATTGAATTTAATTTCACATTCACACTCAATTGGTTATTACTGATGTAGTGCTTTATGGAGGTATTGTGGTTTACTACGTGTTGATAGTATCTTAGTTCTGTAAAGTTTGTTTTTGATTTATCATAAAAAGTGTTTTAATATTTTAATTTTGACTTTTTAAATTTTTGGCATCTCTCTGTAACAGATTACTTCAGACATTCAATATAGTTTTGTTTTAAAAATAATTTAATATTTTTTTTAAAATTCAGTTTTGTATAAAGTAACTTTATTAATTTTTGGAAGTTAAAACTATCAATATATAATATGAAGATTTTAAGCAATATTAGCAATATATATTATTACTTTTTGATGATAAATATTGTTGATGTATCAAAATATTTTTAATAAGAATACTTAGAAAATTGCCTAGAATAAATTAATGGAACTAATGAAAAGAAAGAACATTCAAAGTTAATATCAGAAGAAAGCTGAGCCTAAATAGTTATTTTGAATTATTGATGATAACAAAAATGTATAGCAGTTTGGGCAATTGTATAAAATGAAATTTGAAAGATTTGCAAAAAATAAAATAATAAAAAAGAGAAATAGAGGAATGAACATATCAAATATTTTATTACTTTAAGAATATTACATTAATTATATATTTACATAATACTTATATTTATATATAATAGATATACATTTTAAGTATTAAAATTTATTGCAATTAAATCTTCCATAATCAAAACAATATCATCTATATTTTTAAATTAATACAAATCATTAATTCTGTCCTATTATTTTTTTTATTTTTATTACAAAGTTTTAAAATTTAATGTTTTTAGGGATAATATGGGATTTCCAATAGTAGAATGTGCAGGAGATGGAAAATTTATCATCACAAAACCAGAGTCAACTGGAGGATTAGTATCCACTGCAACAGTTTCTGAACAATTGTTGTATGAAATAGGTGATCCACAAAATTACTTATTGCCAGATGTGACTTGTGATTTTACTCAAGTAAAGTTAACTCAAATTGCTGGTAATTAACTGTTTAATTACAATTAAATAATATTTCTTGAAATAACTTTTTTAAATATTTATTTATTTCTAATTTTGTAAATATACATTGTATGATGTCGTTAAGAAAAAATTCAATAATTGTATATAATCTTTGTTTTAATAAATTAGAGGAATTACTATATCTCACAAAATAATTTAATTATTACATAAATATTTTTAAAATTTTCTTCAAACAATTTTAAATAATTATAAAAGATAAAGAATTATAAAAGTTTTTAAGATATGTTTAAATAGTAAATGACTTTATCATCTCAAATCCAGATTCTGAAACAGTGGTGTTTAAACTTTTCAATTGGCATGCCAAAAAGTGCATAAGTTGAATGTAGGTGGTCCATAAATAATTTGTATATTCTATATATACAAAAAGTAGGACTATTTCTATCTTTTAAAAAAGATTGCCAAATATGTTTACAAATCAGATTAATTTGTGTTATGAGCTGGATTTAGCTCATAGTCATAGTTTGGGCATCATTGTTTTAAGTAATAGAAATTTTTGATTGATTTGTTTTGCTGTCTTTAAAGATTCAAAAATAGATTTTAAACATAAGTATAAACTATTTAGCTTTTTAAAAATAAGTTTAAAGTTGTATATTAAAGTTGCAAATTAAATATAAAGTTATATGTAAACTTGAAAATGAAAATAATTAATAATCATTGTCCATATTTGATAGGTGAGAGGTGTGAAATTTTGAATTTATAGAAACTTGTAAATGAGGAGACAGTATTTAAAATCAACAACTAAACAACTTTTAATATCAAAAGGAAACATAAATGATAATTGACCTGTCCACTTGTTATTTAGATCTTGACAAATTTATTGTTTCATTTGCAGTGGTAATTTCAAGGACAGAGTAGGAATAAAATACTGTATTTCATTGAAAAAAGAATTCAATGACAATTGGTAATTTAAAATTTATTGATTCAAGTGCTTTTAAAATTTTGGAGGCCAAAAAAGCACAATATATCCAAATCTACAATATAACGACGAGCTACTGTATTATTATAACTGTGTACTAAATAATTTGATATTTATGTTTATTTGATCGCATAACTACTGAATTTCTTATTGTACTTAATAACATTTAATTATTCTTAATATTTTTTTTAGATAATTTCTTGTTTAAAATTTTATAATATACATGGTGTCTCAAATTAAAATTGACACTTCCCAGCTTGCTATAGCAAAAACTATTCATCAGAAAGTCATGAAAGTTTGGTAATGCCTTAATGGGAATTTTTTCTAGAGCAAACAAAGTATGTTCCAAAAACCACCACTATTTTTTTGTTTTATGACATATGAATATTTGTGTCATTTTATGACACAAATATTCATATGTCATATTCATATGTCATTTTCATTAAATATATATATATGAATATTCATATATATATATATTTATGACATATTTATATCATAAAATAGTTTATGAATATATTTTTTAAAATCATAAAATTTATTAAAGATAAATTTAACAAATGTTTCCTTTCATAATTTTAGGTTAATGAAATTTTTTAGCACAACATTTATTAATTTAAAATTATAGATTAAACTATAACAGTAAAAATAAATTAAATATAACAATTATAATATAATTTTGCATTTTAAACTTATTTAAACAAACTTTGTCTTATATTTTATCACATTTAAAAGCAGAAATAGTTTTACATAATGGAAAATGTTTTAGCAGGAAATGCTGTTTGATTACATAAATTAAAAAATTAGAAATTACGATAGTATTATCATTAAATTTCATTTATATTTTCATTACACACTAAATTTCAAGTCATGATAAAGTTCTAAAAATCATTTTATGAATATTAATCAATTAAAGAAATAATCTGATTCTGCAATACATTATAATTGTGGAAATATGGAAGGACATTAATAAATATAGTAATTTTTCTTAAGAAGTACACTATTTTTAAGTGAATATTGTAATTGATTAAAATATATACAAATTTGTATTTTTTAGATGATAATGTATTAGTTGAAGGAGCAAAGGGTAAACCACCTACAAATGAATATAAGGTATATTTAATCTTTTAATTCTTTATTGTTAAATTAAAATGTATTTAAAATATTAAATATATAATATCATTTTGTTTCAGAAAGCATTTTATTTAGCAACTTTAAAATTTGCAAAAAAAAAGTATGTTACATAAATGTAAGAATCCAAAGGCTGTTTTTATATAAATTTTAAATGAAAAGAGAAACTTTATACAATTTTTCCTTTTTCTGTCCGATTCACATAGAGTAAGAATGGGAGAATATCAAATATTAATGTAACTGTCAACAAGTCCTTTCCTCCCTCACATCAGCCCACGAAATTAGCGTAAATATGTTGTAATGGTCAACTTTCAAATATAAGAAACTTGATAATTAACTTAGTCTAATGAGGAAATCTAATCTATAAACAATCGCTAACAAATAATCATGTCAGCACTACCAAACAAATGGTCACCTGATCAGATTCTCACACTGAATACACATATAACAGCCACACACCTATTAGTGAGGCAGACATACTTAGAAGCCATAACTTACAGCTCATCCCACCTTATTGGAGGTGGACATAATAGGAAGAGTATAGGCTACTCACCAACTTCCATCCCGCCATAATTATAGATCCAAAGGATTACCTATATTTTTATTGTAATTTGTGTAAGTGTTGGCCACGAATAACTTGGTGCCAAATCAATGGTCACTACTCCAACAAGAGGTATGATAAAATAGATGTAAACTCTCTCAATCATTTATCATTTGAGTTAGGGCCAGTAGTAATAATTATAAGCACCTAGTTTAGGTCATTGACCTCTAGCATAGTAACATATATCTATAATTGTATCTGTTGCCTGTATATAGTATATTATATAAAGCATAAGATATTGTATAAGATACAATGTCTTATGCTTTATTTTTCTATTAAACTTGTTATTTAGTTAATCTGTCAACTTGTTATTATTTGGAGTAATAGACACCCTTTTGACTTAGCTGTGACCTCCCCACTCGAATTATAGCCCTCCTATTTTAAATAGCTGTCCAGTGACAATGTGAGCAGTCTTCACCAGACTGTTGCTGTTAAAAGGGGTTTATAGTTTTACGCTCTACCCCCAGTTTCTCACATAAAACATTGTAAATGGAAATATTACAATCAAGTAGCATCCAATGTACAAACTGTAATAAATAAGCAATATGTCTATCCAAAAATAAAGAAAATGTGTTTTTCCCTAGATGAAATATGAATCTATGTCTTTTAGTAATATGTAACAGATTCTCTATTTATATTATAAGAAATGATTAAAAATGAAATATTTTTAGAATAAAATTAAGAGTTCAGTAGAAGAAAAATTAACTCTGACCTAGTAATCAGAACATTCAGTATTATATTAAAGAATGTGGAATCATATTCCATATAGAGTATACTTTTTTCCTCTTTAATCCTTTTTCTCTGGTGGAACATGTCATTTATACAGTACTTTATTAGTATTTGTTTATTAATAGTACAAGCTATTCAGTTCTATATAGAAATATAGAAATATTTTATTTTATTGCATTGTTTCCTCAGTTAACAACTTTAATTTGTTTCAGGAAACCCATTATTTATAAACTTTAATTAATTAATTGAATCTGGGATTGAGGATATAAGAGTATGTCCTAATTATATGAAGCTATTATGGTTTCACTTTCTTTGCATATATAAAACACTATTAAAGTCATAATTTAATAAAAAATATAAAAAGTTTCAAAGAAATGCTTTTTATTCAAATCAATGCACTGAAAAATAAAAAATACATTTTCTTTAGCTTTCATAGTATTCTTGGTATTATGCAACCAAAAAATAAAAGTGTGCAGCATTCATGTTTAGAAATATTATTAGTTACACTTTCTATCAATTTTTATGGACTTTTCATGAGTACTACCCACTTTTATTTTTGGTTGCATAATACCAAGAATACTATGAAAGCTGAAGAAAATTTATTTTTTACTTTTTAGTACATTTACTTAAATAAAAAGATTTTGATTGTCATCTTCCGACCTTTCTCACTTTTGATCTCTTCCTAGATGTTCTCCCTCTGCCTATGCATTTTCTTTGAATGTCGTTTATTACTTCTCTGCTGTAAGTGTTGAAGATGTTGTTTAAAGACCAAATCAGATTTTGATCGACGGCAGTCAGTTTCTTCACTCGAAAGGACTCTTCCTCTAACATGGAGGAGGTGAGAGCACAATTTCTTTTGCGTTTCATGATGATCATCCATGATATTCTTCTTCTTCAGAACAAAAGCAGAAAACTTTTTAAGGAGTTTTCTGTTTTCCCACCTGTTTTCTGTTTTATTGTCTCTTATATGTATTTTTTTTTACCCACTCTTCAGAATGAAAGCAGAGAACTCCTGTTTTCTGCTTTCATTCCAAAGAAGAACATCATGGATGATTGTCATGAAATGCAAAAGAGAAAACACACTCTCACCCCTCCATGTTAGAGGAAGATTCCTCTCAAGTGAAGAAACTAAAAAGCATTTATTTAAAACTTTTCTTTTATATTTTTTATTTTCTACCTTTTAGTTTTATATATGTAACACTGCATTATCAAAATTCTTCTTGTTTTAGCATTTAATAGGGAAGTGGGTATAAAATTGAGTTACAAGATTTTATGCAGATAGTATGACTAGAGAAGGTTGATGGATATTTTGAGAAAGGAATAGATTGGAAAGACAGGACATTAATACAAGAGCTTCTACAAATATCAGAGAGCAGTAGTTAAAGAAGATGGTCAATACAGTAAGGAAATTGAAAAGGATGTTAGGTAGGGGTGTATACTTAGAAGAGGTAATTAAACAATATCTAGAGGAAGAGGAAGGCATTAAAATCAGGGAAAGGCAAATTCAGTGTCTAAGATATGCCAATGATAAGGCATTTCTGAAAGAAAGTGAGATTAAAATGAAAAAGATCCTTAGTAGACTGGAGAGGGGATGTGCAGCCTTCAAAGTGAAAATTAATGTTAACAAAACCAAAGTGCTATGGATTGGAGAAAAGGAAAGAAAAGTCATTATCCATATAAATTATGACAAAATGGAACAAGTGAACAGATTTAGATACCTGGGAGCTAGGCTTGAGTGCAGAAGTGAGAAAGAAATAAAAAAGAGAATTGGTATGGTGAAAAATTTAGACATTTAGAAAAATGAAAACAATTTTGTGTGGGCCTCTAAAATTAAAATTGAGAAAAAGGCTTGAAAAATGCTACATCTGGAGTGTTTTCCTCTATGGTGATGAAACTTGGATCTTGAGACAATATAACATTAGAAGAATAGATGCCCTAGAGATGTGGATGTGGAGAAGAATAGAGAAAGTTAGATAGATAGAGCAATAAGGTGAGAAGTGAGGAAGTCCTAAGAAGAGTGGGTAAAAAAAAAAAAATACATATAAGAGACATTAAAGTGGCAAAAAGCTTATTGAATGGGCTACATAATTTGAGAGAAAGGCTTATGGAATGATGTTATGGAAGAAATGATTGCAGGCAGAAAGAAATGAGGAAGAAGGAGAATTAAAATGGTGGATGACTTAAAAGAGGGTAGTTATAAGAAACTAAATACAAGAGTACAAAATAGAGTAGCATGGAAAAAGAGGTGGTGCTTACCAGACCTGCTATAACTAGCAGAAAACCAAAGAAGTATGACTGAAAAGGGGATAAGGTTTGCCCTATGTGTAGCATTATCTGTTATCAGACTTTTATCAATTTTAATTTTTCTGTAATTTTTTGCTAATTGCTAAAATTCTTTGCAAACTTTAAAAAATCTTTTTATCAGAAATACATACTGTACATGCAAAATTTCAACTAAAACAGAAATTGGAAAATGGATGAAAATTAAGTTATTTTATCTGAACAGACAAACAGAATAAGTTAATAATAAGCATGATGGGATAGTGGATTGTTAAAGGTGCATGGAAAATACGATTACTTTATTTAAACAATCCAAGTTATAATTTTGTGATCTAATTTTATTCTACCACCATATACGGCACCATCAATCAATATTTATATGATTTGGGGAGTTCAAGTTATTACAGCAAGTTACTTTAAAAAAATATTTATTAATTCAATTTTATTAATTTGTTCTACATTCCGATCTCGTGCATTACGTAATTTGAAAAGTCCGTTAAAAGCTATCAATTCGAAAACAAAGGTATTCGATTTCGCCTGAAGACGACAGTCGTAAACTGTTGAAAGTACTAGCGAACATATCTGAAATTTAACAAATCGCTGTCAATAACGCCGCAACACGTAAGTGTCATAATTTTAATTTCTAAAGGCTGGCGTGAAGTGAACTATATTTTCATTCATGAATACTACTAAAAAACACTTCTTTGCTTTATTGGATACCAGAACATCGTGGTTGAGGCAAAAAGCCCAACTTTGGTTTTTACTAAAGTGTCGAAAGAACGGACTCATCCCCAAGTGCATCTCTTTTAAACATAAAGCATTTCCAAGAGAAGTTAGAACACTATTACCTCGAATGGAACGAAGTCTCCTGGCAAAACTGATTAAGAATAAACGCAGAATGATATCGGAAGAAGAGGATAAGATGTACCTGGCCCACCTCCTTTTCGACAAACAGTGTGATCCATCTATTCTGTACCAACAACTAGACAAGATAAGATATATGGCTAACAAAAATGCACGAGCAGTCAGGAAGAAATTGAATAGTAAATATTATTGGTTACAGAAAACGTCCTGCCATAAACGAAGCAAAACCATTGAAATTCCATATTATAATTTTGCAAATGCAAATGTACCAGCAAACATTCATCAAATAATAACACGAGGTCCGAAACACATACCTACTCCAACGTTTGATTATGCACAACTCATTCCTCCCACCATCGCTGCTATAAAGAACACTTGCTGTCCAGAATTGCAACCTAAATTGGAGCTTTCTGCAATAACCAACATAGCATCAAAACGAAGTTCGAAATCCAGAAATTCAAATGCACAAACTGCTCGGATAGTTAAATCGTATCTTACAAGCAATCATTTAAATTTATTGGTAGCAGATAAAGATAAAAGATTTGTGTTATGCAAGAACCAGGATTTCCTATCAAGATCCAATGAATTCCTTCAACAGTCTGAATCAATTATACTAAAAGAGGATCCGACACCAACTATACTAAGGAAGACACGCAAGATTATTGCACTTACAGGGGTAACAGCTTCTTTAACTGGTTCTCTTAATCCGCCAACGAACATTGCTTGCCCAAGATTATTCTTTGAAGTGAAGACACATAAACCTACTTGGCCTTTAAGACCGTTGATTAATAAACGCTCCCATCCTACATATTTCCTCGAGACAGCACTGGCAAAACATATCTCTGCTTTAGTACCACCCTCCAACTTAGTAACCAATGCCGTTTTAAATGCTAAAGCTAACATTGTAACTACACTAAGTAACCTTCCCACTAACTCGTACCGGTTATACAAAATAGACGTTATTTCATTATATCCATCGGTACCACATTTT